CCCCGCGCGGCCGCTCCCGCGCACTGCGCCCGCGGCACAGCGGGGCCGCCCGGGAAACTCAACCTGCTACAGCGCTCCCAGCTACTGCTAGAGCTGGAAAGCTAAAAGGGTCCTCAAATCAATTCAATGCAACCTGGAGAGGGCCAAGGTTTCAGCACTGTCAGACTAAGAAGTGACTGGTACTTCACAGATCAGTCCAGGAAAAATCGAGGAGGGGAAGTACTATTGTAAAACAATGTCAGAGAACAGGCGAGATATTTTCTTGGTGTTACTTCAGGAACAGAACACACAACAGCCAGACACACAACCTAACTGATTCATTATTACTAAAGCAAAGCCCTATTGGTACAAAATATATGGATTTGCATTTAAAACAGTATTTAGGACTTCTTTCTCCCATAAACAGGTTCATGCTGCAACAATACTGTAAAAAAAATACATAACCATCTTCCAAATTCCACCAAGCTGTCCAAGATTCCCAGGAAGCCTTGTTGTACTGTCCTCTGCTGGCTTGCTGCAGCTTGTTATTTCCAGTGTAATTTTGTACCAGCTACCCAAGGTCAAAAATGGCTGCATACTTTACAAGTGGTTCAAGACAGAAGGAATCCCTCATGCAGATTTTTAAAAGAGAATAGAGACTGCAGATTTACCAAGTCGGATAAAAGGGCAACTGCAAGCAGAAACTACAGACTTCGGATGTTTTGGACCTAAAACTTCATATGGAAAGAAAAAATACCTCTCATCTCTATAAACAGATATCTGTATTATCTCTTATTTCTCCATTATCTTACTTATGCACAAAAGTAAACATGCCAATTAAAAAAAAATAACGAAAACCAAACCACAAAATGCAAACTACCTAAAGCTGACATTTCATAATGACATCAGAGTCACTGAACTAAGCTCAGCACAACAGGAAACTTGCCTTTAATACTATGTATGCACATTTCTTTTTTTTTTTAATGCTCTTTGCTACCAGCCTTTGCAAGGGTCTTTTCCATAACAGATGTGTTTTCTGCTCAGAATCATAGGCTTTTAATTTTTACATAACTATATACAGATATTAAGAACAAAAATCCTATAAACTTGCAAGGAACACTGACTATCCTAGAATGTATGGAGCTGACTTACTGTACCAGTCTGTCAAAATAATCTATAACAATGGCAACCTGAAGATTGCATTCCTTCCATTTAAAATCTGAAGAGAGTATGGCAACCTTAAGACTGATTTACATTACTTTCCCCTTACATAAGTTAACCTACCGATTCATCCATGATTGAAGCGGGGTCAAAGAAATCTGGTTTCAGTTCTGTTCTTTCTCTCCTGTTCTTTGACGGTGGCTTTAGGAAGCAAACAAACAAACAAGTTAAGTGTAATTCCACCAGAAAAAGAGTTTTACACTGTAGTCAGTGAAGCTGAACTCTCAAGGACTAAGAATTCACAAGTGATAAATGTTATTAGTTATGACAGGAAGTGTTTTTGCTTTTTGTATAGCAGTTGGAGCAGATGGCTCTTGTACACAGACAACAGCACAGCCCTTTAACAATTCAGAAAGCAACCAGAATGATTTTTGTTTTATCAGAAGAAAAATTTAATTCAAATATCTTATTTTAAAAGCAGAAATACAAATCCCAAAACCACTAAAAGAAAAGTAAATTTCTTACTAGGTCTATGTCCATGGTGTCAAAATCCATGCCTTCATTAAGATCTTCAATCCGCCCTTCTGATGACATCATCACATCTTCAACAATTGGCTCTTCATCATCTTCCATTAGACTTGTGCCACGTCGACTGAAATGAAAAGCAATACTGTTTAGCACTAAATCAAGTTACCTTTTATCTATTTAATAAGCTAATTCTCAGTATGGGACTCTCAACAAATAATAATTCCATTGGATAAAACAGAAATTAAGCAATGAAATAAATACACAATTACCACCAAAGAAACCTGGTGTTAAACCAACAGAAAATACTAAGAGAGTGTGGGAGAATGCCTGACAAAGGTCAGTTTAGATAACTGTGGCACGCTGCTAAATGGGTACTCAGAAAGGGTCTGAGAACCGACAGGGAGATCTACTCCATAACTAATTTATGCTCAAGTGAAAAGTAATTTGAGTTTTTCCACCTAAAGAAAAATTTTTTCTGCCTTATGATAAGGCCAGGAAGAATGTCTTTGAAATAAAGTAAATGTGTAAAACCACTACAAATACACCTAAACAGTCGTTCATCCTCCTTCCTCCTAAATTCTACATGAAACATTATATCTTATGAGAAAACTAAGGAGTAATTCTAATTATACTAATTAGAGTCACTGGATTTTAAAAAAGCCACCACTGAAACTATGTTACATGAAGTACTGGTATTAAAACAATCAAAAAAAAGTAGGGGAAAGATGTAAAGCTCCTCAATACATATACTCATATTGCAACCTGTACTTTTTTTCTGTAGAACCAGAGTCCTTAAGAATGCAGAGAACTTTTGAACTTAGAAGATGTATCCCTCTTAAAAGGTGTTACCACTGCATTTATAAATCCCCTCCCTGACTCACTGACAGAACGTGTCACTCCACTCACATGGCGTGTTGTAAGTTGCTTCTCAGCTTGACGTAGTTCATCGCTGCCCTCTCCTGTTGTTGTCGCGCGGCTTCTTCCTGTTGCCTTTGAGCCAACATCCACGTTACTTGCGTGCTTAAAAAGACCATTATTCTATTTTAAACATGTACTGGTTTTGTGTATGAACACTAACACAAAGCAGACCTACTCAGGTACATACTTGTAGTCGAGCGGCGGTTGGTGATGCTCAGGCTGCATAGGATAGACACCCATGTAGTTCTCATCAGGTCGCAATCTCTTGGGTTCCCTCATTATCGTGGAAGTGAGCTGAGGTGTCTGCATCATAACTGGTGTGTGCATTGACTGCTCCCTGTTCAGCCACATACTGTCACTACTGCTGCTTTCTTCAGCTGGAAGCAAACACAGGAAGAACATCTGTTAAGTTTTTTTCAAACTAGTCTGAAAGTCAATGTTGAAACACAAATCACATGCATGACAAAGAGAATCGATTGCTTTACTTTTTGTCACAAAGTCTTACATGTGTCTCAAAGGGCCTGGATTTATAATTTCTGGCTGGAGCATTTCTATGTTGTATGATTTAACACTGTGTAGTGCCCTTATTTCCTTCTCTGAATCAAATGAATAGCTTTCCCACTAAGACACATACATGATCAGAAGTTACTTGTTCTGAAAAAATACATTAAGGCATACCAATAGTCACACTAAAAAATACAGAAGAATATGTGCAGTTTATATGAATATGTATTCTAGTAAATTTTAAGATGTGAGAAGTTCTACCTTCAGGTACTTTCCGCTTGCCTGTTGCTGGCTTTGTCTTCTTATTTCTTACTGTAGAGCCTCGACTACTGATTCCACTAATCACTGACATGGTATCATCATCCCCACCAGCTAATAAAGAGTTTCGGTAGGACATGAGAGGAAGCCACACATCTTCTCTTCGCAGAGACATCTGAAAGGTCATGAACTTCTCCAAGTAAACATATCTTTAAATGAAAAGAGAAATACAGAGATGCAAAAAATCTGTAACAAATGTTACTATGTCAAGATAAGTAACTACTGAAATTCTCAGCTGATGTTTCTCATCTAGTTAAGAGAGGCCAGACAACAACAGCAAATCCGAAATACAATTTCTGTTCATCCACCATAAATTGAAAAATAACAACAATAAATATAATTTACCCTCTGTGAGTATACTTGACTACATCAGTGTAAACTTACCTTGATGTGTCAAAGATTCCACTTTGGATGAAAACAATACACAAGTATTTATTCTGATGTGCGTCTTTTGTGGTTATCATTACAAATATTAAGAATATTAAGAAAATACTTACACTGTTCTTTTGTCTTGTCTGAGAAGTTTCGAGGAGAACTCACTGAGAATATCAAGAAATGCCAAATTTAATGGTGGGTGGCTCTCACCTTGTGGATTAGGCTCCTTAAAAGCAAATTCTATACCATCCCTAAGAACAAACAAAAAATTACATCAGAAAAAGAACAGAAGTTCAAAGCACTGTGAGCTACCGAAACTGAACCCTTTTGAAGCAATAATTTGATGTTTTCATATTCCAGCAAAAAAAAAGTGAACACTAGTCATTATTTGAATCTGGGCACACTTTCTGTCACAGAATTTCTACCCTGCATTTCAAGTTTTCTGCATGAGGCCAACATGACCACCACTGACAATGAAGTGGATCTGTTCTTATTGTTATGGACCAGACATTAAAAAGGCTTTTTCATTATAGCATCGATGCTGCTATCATTTACATACTTATATGATGATGCTGGAGAACACCAACAATATGAAACATTTAGGGTTTTTTTAGAGACAAAACTGCAGCCATCTCCTAATTAATACATGGACTACATGTATTATATACATCTCTATGACTGATACACTTAGTATTAACAAACTGATTTTCAAAGACAAAAAAGACTATCTTATGCTAGTGTTTACTATCAATAAGTGTTTACAAAAATGTAATACAAAGCACACAATTACTTGTGTAACATAGCAATAGCTTCTCTTGTTTTCAACTGATCCAATCCAAATGTTAAAGCAAAACGTCGAGCAAGTTCCTTTATGCCACTAAATGTCGGTGATGATCTGTCAAAATTATAACCATTTTCTTGAATCATTTCATTGAAGAGCTGTATGGAATAAATAGAGAATTTTTCATGTATTAAAAAAATTATGCCAAACTTTGAAACAATATACACAGAGCTAAATTTCCGTTTAAAAGTATGTTTCACAGCTTTTTTTCCTCCCACTCCTAATCTGACAAAACCAAGAGACAAACACAGACGTTTTGGACAGCAAAGTCTAAGCTACTCCTAGAGAGTCTGCACCCCAGAGATAAACTTTGAAAAGCACTGTCCAAGCACTCATCAAACTGCATATATACTGGATGACAGATTTCAGTGCTTCACCAAATCAGGTGTTCTAAACTTGAGAATACAAAAAATTAGTAGGATTCCCTAATTACATACACAAACACGTCTTCAGGGAAATTGCCAGACACCAGAAATTCTGTCACTGATTATGAGATTTTAAAGTACTCATGAATAGTTGTCAAAACCAAATACTCTGAACTTCACAGTCTTTCCTTTGATCAATCCTTTTCTCATCCTACTAAATTTGACTGTAATTTACTTCAATAATAAATTTCTATTTTTTTAAATTTTGTCTAATACACCCTTCACTCTTTTGTATCACAAAAAAAAAAGTGTTTAGTTACATATTTTACACTGCAGTTCCACCGGCTACTTAAGAGTCATGCTGCTATCCAAAGGAAAGGCCTCATCCTTCCTTGTTTTGGCAATATCCATACTGACAAACCACTCCTTACTTTAATAAGGACTATTTCTGTTTCGTCTCCACCAGGATCGATATCTAGATCTGTATTTACTATCTAGCTTTAGTCAAAAAATCAGGGGTAGAGAAAATAAATTTGGGCAGATTTTTTCCTTTCATGGAAAGCAGTAATCTATGCTGGATTACAGTGTTTTGGAAATATATGTCTGTGCTGTTCTGAGTCTGTGAATAAAATCCATGCAGATGGTTTGTGTGAGCGGATGAATCAAATGCTAACTTTAACTGAATTCATCAGGTTTCCATACAAACAAACTTTACTGAAGAGAGCATTAAATTATATTTTAATGTCTAATATGTGAAGTCCCTATTGAACATTAAGAAATTACTAAAACTTCAAATTAATTCAGAGAATAGTTTAAAAAAACCCAAAACCAAATCAAGACACAAAAGCAAAACATAACCCCCACAAAAAAACCCAGACCCCCCCCACCACACAGGCAGGAAGTATTTATGTCTTGGCTAACAAGACTATTTTAGAGTTATGAAGGTTTCATAGTTACATTAATTTTATATTTATTTGCCTCTCCTACGTATTTTGTGGTACAGTATTTGTTTAAGTATAGAAAGACTTCTGGCAGTTTTTCCCATAGTCACAGAAAATGTGTTTCAGTTTAGACTTATTTATCCCTACCATTCATAAAAATTTCTTCATCAATACCTCAAATTAGTTACTAAACAACAGGATATCATCTACAGTATGGAATTTCATGCATAAAAATACTGTCAATTCTTACCTGCTGCAAACTAAGAATAAGTGTTTTAGCACACTGGATTTTGTCTATCTGTCTTGTTTTACTCATTGTTTCTTTAATAATATCACCATAGTCATTGTAATACTAGGAAAAACAAAAAAAAAGTTAACAGTCAATGTTAGTTGAAAAACATTGCAACTACTGAATTCTTCTGAAAACAAAATCTAGGATATGTTCCTTTAGAAAGAAAAATTAAACACTATCTAAAGGAAAAAAACCCAACATGTTCATGATTACACTAAAATTACACTCTAAACTGCCTCCACAATAATAATTTTTAAAAAACCTAAATCCAAAAAGAATAAACCCACTTTTCATTCTTGCAGTGAGTATTACTTTAGAGGCAGAATGACCTATTTATCTTCAAGGCCATGACATATTTGTTAATGACACGTGTTCACCCCTTCAGGGTACAAGATTAGAATCTATTTTTAGTAACTCCTGTAACTGTGGTGGGGAGTTTTATTTTCTTTCCTGAAAGGAGGCACTTACAGACAGCATCACAGCCATAATTTGTCCAACAAAGACAGCTGTCTGTCCAGTTTTCTAAGTATTTCAGGTTTAAGAAAGACCCAATTAGTTATTTGGAGAATCAAAATATATGTAGGGCACTCAGATGGATAAAAGCAGGCTGCCCAAATGTTAAGTTTTTAAGGAAATCACCAAGGAGCAAAGCTTTATCATATTCACAAAATGAGAACTCATATTAGTGTGCAGCTGTGAATCCCATGAGCCAGGAAAGGTTTTTATATTTAAGTAAGATTGAAACAGATATAAAGATAATGGGGGGAGGGGTAGAGGGGACTCAAATTTTACTTCTCTTCTATAAAGCTTAAACTTAAATTATTTGATGAGGCTGGACATCATGGAGTTGATCTCGGGAAGAACATTTTCAAAAGGCCTACTAAACTAATAAGTGAATTAAAAATACACCATCAATCAAAATAAGAAAATAAAACTAATAGAAACAACATTAAAATAATTAGTCAGTTTCCCTCCTCAGTCCCCACCACCCATACACTGGAACTATAACCACTCATCTCAGTAATTTTTCTCCCTACATACAAAAAAAGGGCCTACAACTCCGGAGTTTTAAATTCTTCACATTTTGAAACAGTTATCTTGTAAGGTGAAAAAAAAACCAAGTAAGAGTTAAAAATTCCAGAACTACTGTATTCTAGTTGTTTTATGAAGTATCACTACTAAGCTTCAAATTTACCTTCATATATTGCTTGAAAATATCCGCAGCTGTGTTCATTTCCACCACAGTATATACAATGAGCTTACAGAAAGCTGCAAGTAGGTTTCTTCTTTTGTGCAATGCTTCAATTTTGCTGGCTTCATCATCCTGCTGTCCATCTAGAAAGAGTTCAGAACAGGAAAACTGTCAGGTTTAAAGACTCCATGCTTAAACATTTATTTATAAAACTAATATGGGCTAGTGGTCATGATTCAGAAAATCAGATCTCACTTCTGATGGCAATGCACACTTCACTGTCCACTGACATGTGTCTTACCCTGACACAGAGACAAATATTTGAGCCTATTAAACCAAACCTTTACTGCAATAATCCTACATGTTCCCAATACAGAAAATCCTTTAATCAGCTGCTGACATTTAAAAGACACACCTACCTCTATGCATATGCACACCTCTCAATGACAAAACAAAATTAAAAAATAAAAAAATAAAAAAAAAACAACCAGGCAAACAAGAAAAAACCCAACAACAAAATACCACCACCACAAAAACCCAGAAATGCACAATGAAACAAAGATATTAGTCAGAAAATAAATAATATAAAGGAAACTTAAGCTTTGTACAAACCGGCACTATTATTATCATCATCCTGATCAATGAAGACATGATCTAAAATAAAACTGAGTAGTTCAGATTGCAAAGAAGAATCAGGAGTGTAAACAAGTGGCTCCAACATGTCACGTCCTCCTGTCATAATCTGATGGCTGAAGATCATCAACACATCACACAAAATTGTGAAAGCCTGTTAAAAAGAAACCTCAGTAAATACTTGCTTGGAAAATATATTTTGTTTAGAATAATGTATTTGCACTTGACAAAATACTTGAGATCTCAACAGTATACACAGGCCACTAAAGTCCTACGCAACTACAAAAGCCAGCTGAAGTCAAAATGTGCATAGCTTCACACAGTGGGCTCCTGAATCAAGAATGAATCTCCAAATAAAAATACTGCACAGATGATGCCAACTAAATATAAAAATATTGCAAGATTAACACATAAGGAGCCTGATACTCCCAAATTCTACCTGATGCGTACTACATTAGGTCTAGAGAACTAGAGAACTTCATGGACTCTGACCAGAATACAGTCGCCTTTTTGCTGTCTTTTCTTAAAATGGTTTTGATCACATTTGTTTAACATATAACAGCTGAGATTCTTCAATCTCTTTAAATCCTGATGTCCAAAAATCTAAAAGTGCAACCAACTTTTCTGTTTTGCTAACTTGTGCATCTGATACCAATTTAAATGCCTGTACTCCACTGTGCCAGGTTCAAATGTCTTAGTACCTGACACAAAGACTGACACTCTTCAAACAGACTAAGGCAACAAGCTGTTTAGTGCTGCACCTTCTGTTTGGCTCTAATCTCCAAGTACTTCCATGAACAGGTCTGTTCTCTAACTCCTCACAGTGAATATTACTAATTCCTGGCCACAAAAAAAAATACATGTGATCCTCTGAAGTCCCTTGTGTCCTTTCATGGGATTAGAGAAGGGAGGTGGAACCAACACCAACTGTAACATTGTGCCCAACGTGACAGGTACCCTGTGCAACTAGGCAGCTCTAGTTTCTAGAGTGTTCACCAGAGTCTGAGAGTCATACAGCCTCTTAGGGAAACCTACTCAGAGATTCAGTAATTTTTGTTACTAGCACTTTCACACCCTACACCTTGTGACTATTATATTAGCTAGCTCTTTGACACAGAACATGCCTATTAAGCTCCAGGAATTATTCTTGTTCTAGCAAGAGTTTCAAAAGCTGCAATTGTGCCATTCAGTGGACCAGATTTTCCACTTCAACCAGGTTATTATTATCTGCAGCAGCAAAAGGCTCCTGGCTTTCTACTTCTTTAATTAGACTGTCTACCTAGAAGATAATCTGGTCTTTCCCCTGTAGAGACATAGTTAATTTTCTTTCATTTTAGCATTTTAAAGATGGTTAAAGGCATTTACTTAGAATTAATTCTGCTATCAGTAACCTGTGTACCTCACTGGAACTCCAAATTCCTACGAGTGTCCTGGCCAAAGAACTATTTGCCCATAGATGGAAGAGACTCAGCTCCTACAGTTCAATTTTTTTTTTCTCACTATTATCCTCAGAACTTGAGACAAGTGTTTCCCAATATGATGTCTCAATTCTTTTTGAAACAGAAGCAAAAACTATAACCAACAGAGCAGAGTGACTACAAAAAAAAAATCCCATTTCCCAACAATAAACTCTCCTAGGTTACAGTGCATACTTGTGCATGTATAAACATATACACACTCATCTTAAGTACTCATTTTTTTCTCCTGATTTTGAAATGCCCAAATTCTTGGGATTCTGAAAAACCAAGGAATATATTGTATTATGGAGCAACACAGAGACAGGAAGCTGCACCTGCATGCATTCAAAGACAGAACCAAAAAATAAAAAATAATAAATAAATAAATTTCTTTCAAATTGCCGTCCTTAGCTCTTCCAGTTTTGAGCCTATGAATCCACAGCTCCACAGGAGATGTGAGTCATTAACACATGGTAAGCAAGAGGTTTGAAATGGAACTCTTTCAGTCAGCTTACACCCAGAAGGCTTCTACAGTGCACCTGCAGAGTCATTACTTAAAGAAACAAAAAAGCTCCTTTGCATAAAACATTATGCTGCCTAAAATTACTCGAAAAAATCAAGTTTAAATTGATTCTGAAATCCTTTGTACATAAGGAGGATGAACATACAAGTATGCATTCACACTCAAAGGGCACTCAGCCTGAACATCCAGGACATCATGTTCCCACATAAGTGCCAAAAACATTAGCAAGAAGAACTTTTCAGTATAAAAGTACAGTATTAGAAGACGCCAAGTAACAACAGCCACTAACCTGTTCCTTAACAGCAGTATTTACATTGGTCAGGTAGTGTTGACAGATCTGACAGAACACTCTCATCTGCTTCTTTAGACGTAGAAGATCCTCCTTTAAAGGGAATGATTTCATGTAATAGTTTTGCCTTTTCAATTTTTTAGTCCCATTTAGTGCAAGCACTTTCACAGAGCATTCCACCACAGACCTTAGTGATAACATTCAAGTCCACTGCATTATTTTTAAAAATCACTATTATAAATAAAATTAGCAAGTAGCAATTTCCTTAACTTTGTCATTCTGTGTAGCACAGAGGAGATGGCAATTGGGATGAAAATTGTTCCATTTTATAAAAAAAGTAGTAATTAAAAAACCTCAAAAACAAACCTAAAAAACCCTAACAACTCCCCTCACCCCCAAAAATCCCAGCGCATAAAGTGTTTTCTCTTTAAAATATATGTATTTTCAGCCTAAAGGCTAGATTTTAGGCAGCTGTTCATAACTAACAAAGACAATCTTACATAACTTCCCAAAAACTCGAGATTACCGAGCGAACAAAGTATCAAATTGGTCTAAGTACCACCCACACATGTAATGCAGTTGGTGCTACTCCATCATGTGAATATTTAGCCCTATACAACTGGGGAAGTTGTAATACAGGACCAACTGTGTAACCAGCATCAGTCCAGACAAAGACAGAATACACATGAGAGAAGTTTAAAAACTATGCCTAAAATCTAAACTGTAACAAGTCTCTCCCTTGAAGAAAGTGGGTAACACACTGGGTACAGCACATCCTTTAATCCCAACAGGATTAACAAAAGCAACAGCTGCTTCTTGACAGGAATTTAAGTATAAGACTATTTTAGAAGTCCTTTTCTACACAAAACCTTTTCTCTCCACAGTTGCCAGTTACACTGATGCTAAGAGAATTATACGTGGGATATTTTCTTTCTTTTACATAGAATTATTTGTTTACATTTTTATTAAAATTACTTATATAGTCTTTAATTTAGTACATGCAGTGTGACTACATGATTACTACTTTATGAAGCTAATTCCCAAACTTAGTTCACAAACCTGTTCATTTAGAGCAAAGTTAGCAGCTGTTGACAATGTCGTCAGGGGCCAAAAAAAGCGCAAAACAACCAACTAAAAAAACCAACCAACCAACCAAATCTTTAGGCACAGTACATGTCTGTCACTTCTGTTTCTGTGCTTATTTTTTGCTGCTGTACATTCCACTTTCATTGAACAGAAATCAACAGAACTTCTGTAGGTATTGAGTATATTTGGCAGCAGTCAAGCAGATAAATATAATAGTTGTAATTCAGAAGTTAAACCAATGAAAGCTTTAATTTACCAAGTTTTATTATGTAGAAGCAGAAAATAGTCTCAATAAGGGACCACTTTTTAATTAAGTTCTTTTCATTCCTGCTGGAAGTATTACAAATTACATTTTGCTGCCAAACAGATCGGTTAATCTTAATTTCTAAACTAACTTGTCAGTATTTTGCTCATCTTCTGCAATTAGCCTTGTGATAAATCTTTAATCAGTTCAAAAACCTCAAGACTGCTGTTTACCCCTTAAGGAATAAGGTAACAAAGCCTCCTAATCTTTCACACACCTACATACCTCTCTACAATCTGTGCAGCCACTTCTTATCAGGTACTTGGGGTTGGAAATGTTAAAAGCCATTAAAAATGCAGATGGATAAACTAGCCAGCCAGTGGTCAACTTCATATTCAACTATAACACCTTCAGACTATAATTACTCACTGGACTAAAGAAGTCTCAACAGGTGAAAAGCACCATAATCTGATACAGGTGTTCTCTGTTATAAGATCATTAGTACAAGTTACATAGCATGATTTTCCACTCCTGCATCTACCAGAAGCTTAAACTACCACATCCTATAATAAAAAAAAAAAGAAAAATGTATGTATCCTCACATTAAAATAAGAGTATCGTAATAATGGATTATTAATTACTCATACATTATTAATGCCATGAGCTCCCTTTGTTTTCTCCCTAGTAAATTGTGGCAATCATATACAACTTCTTTTTCATATATTAATGACAAGCATGATAATGAAGTGTTTAAAAAACCTGAAGAACTGACTTGTCTGAACTCTGACATAAAGGTGTGTTAACAGTAACTCCAATAATGAAGTGCAACTCTAGCCTATATTTCCAGCAAAAAAGCCCTTTTCTTACATGACTACAGAAAAAGTATGTTTGATTACATGGATTAGAGTTTTGTAATTTTAGACAGAGAAATCATTAAAATGTTTCAGCACATACAAACTTCATTCTCAACTACCTTGGCCTTTCGAAAAAAGCCTTTTTTTATTTGGCAGTTCATACAGTGAACCACCCAATCAACCTCTTCAAGCAATGCTGGGTACAGGAAACCTTAATCCTTTCTCTAAGATTTTTCAGGAAGAAAGATGACATTTGCCAGAGCTTGGCCCTTCAAGATTACTATACAAAGAACCAGAACAGGGCCTCTCATCATTCTGTGAAAAAATCTGATATTTAACTTCATCTTTTCACATCTTTATATAACAATAGATTTAAAAGACTGATGAAGAGTAAAGCTGGATTGCAACATACTGAGCAATACGAATACTATGATAGTGTACAAATTTTTAGATCTCACCGACTTGTCACTGATACTTGAAGGTTTCCAAACAAATCCAAACCCACTACCTGAGATTAGTAAGACTGATTATACTGTGTTTTGTAACTTCCATTCTACCCCTTCTTATCATTGTTACTGTGCCTGCTAGATATCATGTTCACTTATTATTACTTTAAAATTCCATCAAATTAAACATAACACTCACATTTAAATAATAAAAACAATTATAGGAGGTATTATATTTTTAAGTAAAGAATGTGACTAGTAAAGCTATTAATTCAGAATGATTTATTTAAAAAGCAGGATTAGGTAGGTATCAATATAAAGAAAAATCCTAGTCTTAATTCCATCATAGTTCCTACTTGATAACACTGCAGCTATGTACAAATGTTTATTTACTAATACAACTGGAACAAGGCATACCTTTGTGGAACTGCTTTCAGTAACTTTTGCTAGCTGCCAAAGGATTACATAATGAGTACACTGCAGTGCATGAATAACAATCTGAAATCAAAAGGAAAAAAAAAAACATTAGATGACAAAGGATAATAAAAGAGAGAAACAAAAGCTATTTGTTGTTGTGCCTAAAGAATACATTTTAACTACAGACCTGTTCTGGCATGTCTCCATTTTCAATGCCAGTTTTTAATAGCTTGTAGTTGCAGCCAAACAAGTCCCATCTTGATAGGTCATGAGCACTAGAAGCATTAGAAATGAACAAAAAATATTATTTAACTGATACTTTTTCTGCAATCCAAGGTTAACAACTACTAAAAGCTTAACTGGTCAAAAAAAAAAAAAAATTAGTGTTGAGAAAAACCAGCCACTGAATATCTCCCCACCCAAATCAACACATACACACTAAAAAAAAAAGAAAAAGCAAAAAAAATCCCACGAAGTTGCATTAAAAGGTAAGATACATCATATTTAAAACAAACAACCCCCCCCACCACAATCTCTGATACTGAATTACAAACAATCCCCCACACCACAAATCCTGACTGACATGCAGAAGCCAACTTACTTGTGAAAAGCAGTGATTCTCTTCAGTGTTGACAAGACTTGATATGCATCATCTTCATCAGGTTCCTCCCCCTATTCAATAATCATACAGTGAGATATCTCAAGCAGTGTGGTCTAAGTGAACTGGGGAACTTACTTAAACCAAACACACACCCCCCCAAACTTCTGGGCAAGAGCAAGTGCAGACCTAATTCTAAACTACTTATGTCACATATGATTTTAGAAGAGTTAGAGAGGTAGAGCAGCAAGCAGTTCATATCTAGAGATGGAGTCAATGATGTTAAACGTATTTTCCAACCCAGATAATTCTACAATTCTATAAAATAGCATCAGAAGAAAAGAAAGGGGGAGGGGGGTATGGAGGAAGAAGGGAGAAAAAACCTGAAAATGCCTAGGCTAGCAGGATACAATGTATAATGTAGGTGCTTCTACTTTCTCTGAAGAATCCAGCAGAGGCCACTGTCAGACAAAAGACACTGGACTAGATGGGCCACAGGTCAATACTTCAGTCTTACTTTAATCACAGAAAAAAGTCTTTGAGTGAGGTAAGGGAACTGGTTTGTTCTAATCTTCCCATAAGTTCTGACAAAGTTGCATTTAGTGAAAAAAAGAGTGAAAATGAAAGGGTCGAAAAAGTATCTATCTGTACGTAAAATAACCTGAGGTCAAGAAACTCCTCCTTAGTCTAGCAGAGATAATCCAAGTTTTACTATTCTGTAGTTGCATAACAATCAAAGAACTACAGATTTCAACACTTCCACCGAAGTATTTGCCATTTTCCTTCAAGCCAACTTCTGACATCTCACTTCCTTGCTTTCTCCTTTTCTTTTCATCACAAAGGGAAACAAATGGGTACATTTCTTGTTTAGGATTTCTAGAACTGAGTTCTAGTTCGGAACAAAAAGCAAGAGAAAAAAGGAGAGCTTGATAAACTACATGCTTCTAAGAAATGTTAAGAATGAAGCTGTCAAAAAGACACTTCCTAAGCTCCTTACCACAGATGAAAAGGAGAAACAAGTTTTGTCTGAATGTCAGAGATCTCACTTAGTGAAGTTAAATACTCTTATAAGAAGATTCTCACTTTTAGGATCAACAGTGTGGGAACAAAGTTATTTTTGATCTACTAACTGCATCTTCTTGCACTCAGGAAGGGAGGGGGGTGTTTTCTAGAGATTTCGATATGTAACAACAGCAACATGCAACCACAGGCCAGACTAGCTACAGTAGAGTACATCTGAGAATACTAGAGGAATTACAACACTACAACTCTCAAATATGTAATCCTCAAAAGCTAAGAGGAAAAGGTTTATGTATTAATTGTTTATCTGAAACTTATCTCAAATTCCCAAAGGACTCTTGTCAAAAGGAGATCAAAATTAAAGACTCACTGTCTTAATATAGAAGAACAGTCTGTGTTCACACAATCACAGCAGCAACACTGTTGTATTATTGCACTCAACAGTTTCGAAAATCAGAGGGAAGCTCTCATCCCTAGCACTGACTTGCAGAGGAAGACAGAAAAAATACTGAAAATATTTACAAGGGCAGGAAAAGGTGATCTTGCACATTAAAATACCTCTTGCAGGAAGTCCTCAAGAAGTCGATTAAACTTGTCTGACAATTCATCTATTAACTGACTTCTTGCAATGTCAACCCTGTTAAAGATTGTGAATTCTTCATTACAGAGAGCATGGTAGGTTTTTGAACAAGCCTCCAAAACATCTGTATCTGTGTGCTTCTCCACAATATCCCGGATTTGTCGCAGTAAGGCATCCAAATGCTACAAGGAAGATGAGCCAAAGAAGAAAATATGCATTTTTATTTTCATATATATATATATGTACACACAAAAATACACACTTGCATTTTTAATAAACTTTAAAGAATTTTAAATTCTTTTTATTACTTATATAACTATGATACAGAACACAAACACCTTCTAGAAAATCAGTGAAGCTTCTGAGAAATTAAGTCTATTTATCAAACATTAAGTTGGAGCTTGTCAAAGACCAAATCACAGAAGTGATTAAAAATTTGCTATTGTTGGTATGGTCTTACCTAACACTTGAATTTGCAATGACAACTGAACAACACAGAAGTATATACCTCCCACTCACACAAACATCTATGCGTGTTTGTGTGTGTCTTAAAAGCTGTATAATCTAAGATTTAGTTTCATAACACTCTACTGTCTAACAACTAAAGCCAACTTGAGCTGTTCACATATTCCTCCCATCAACCTGAGTTGCTCACTGATGCTCGATCACTGCCGGCTATGCTGTCAACTACACATTTTATCACTTTCTGACTCTAATGATTTCCAGCTACTTCCTTCACAATGCAATAAGCACATCTGAGAAGGAGACAATAGAGATGAGAACAGCTTCAACTTCATCATCATAGCAGATAAAATGAGAGCATTAACTGCATCATTTGGGATCTGGTATTCTTCCTCTTTTTCATGCAGTGATGATAGTGCTTTTCTAGTTTCAGTGATAGAAAAAGAAAACTTACTGAGCTGTTTCTACATGCTTTATCTGTCAGACAGTTATCTCAAATATGACTACAAGCCAGCAATAAATGTTCTCGATTTAAGTTCATCTAACTGGCAAGATTTTCTGTTAAAACTGGCCAGACAGGCCTTAGAAAACTCAAATTTTTGGTATCTCTTCTTAGAGCAGCAAGACACAACTCTGAAATCAAAGTTGCACTATCACTAAGGGTTACAATAAATAAAATCTCCTTTACACAAGAAATCAGTCCTAAAATGGTGACTGAAATTCCAGTGAAGTCGTCTAAATTCTGTGACTTTTCCTTTTATGTTAATGTGTGGATGTTACCATACCTTTTCTAATCGCCCTGTTGTATAAATTTCCAAATCAAAGTACTGTGGCAACTGCAGTAAGTTGGTGACTTTTTCTGCATCTACAGAATACTGTAAAATTGGCAAGGAAAAAAGTTTAGATTAAAAAGTCTTGGACAACATAATTCATTGTAGAATAAGTAAATATAAACAAAGATTAGTAAGAAAAAAATAAAACTCATGACAAGTTGTATCATTAATTACAGAAATATACTTGTAAACATTTAAACCACCATCCATCAGCAAGAAACGAAATTAAACCTACCTTTGCTAGCAACTGAGGAAGTGCCACTGCAAAAAGCTCAGTAATTTTTGTCCTGTCATCCAACTGGGTTTTCTTTTCCTTTGCTGTCAGCACCTAAAATATTGGTATTGTAAGGATTTTACAACTAAAAGTTCTGGTGCAAAGTTTCATCATCATTAATGAAATTATGATTAGGTACATGGACCTCTAAAATCACTGTAACATATCAATGTAAAGCAGGAAGGATGTGTGCAATTAAAAAAAAAAAAAAGAAAAAGCAACACTCAGCATTCAAAAAATGCAATGCAAAGTCAGTCCTAACACTGTTAAGATGATCTTGAAAACAGAAGTGATAACATAGAACAAAAGGTTTACCTTTCCTGCAACAAAATATCATGACTGGAATAACAATATAAGAATGGGAACTCCTTTGGCTTACAACTTTAAACAATATTTACCCTATTATTTGTCAATCCTATCTTCATACAAGCTTTCAACCTGTTCTTAAACGGGTTTCTTACCAAAATATGCACCAGTCTTGAGAGAAGAATGCTTAATGCCTCAGCAAAGGGGCTGTCTAAACTCCGTATAATCACAGAAAAGCCAACTGATGGACTGGTCTTCTTCCAAGAGACTATGGAGTGTATTTTCCTTTCCCTCATTTAGCTCTTTCACACTGAAAATACTTTTAGCTTTTCCCAAACACTGATTCTTGTCCTCCTTTCAAACCAATATTGTTTTCAAAATAAATTTTTATTATCTTTAATAATACAAACAAATGCAGTAGTATGATCAGTACTAAGCACGTGCCCAAATCCAGAAAAAGCAAACTAGCCAGGGTAGTCAAATGTGGAGACCAAAGCTGAATCTCCAATCTCAGTTCCTTCAGCAGCAATAGCCTACAATCTTTTCCTTCTTCCCACAGTGGCCACACAGAGCCATTCCCACACCTATAGATGAGTAGGTTTGTTGCTTCGTACCCTTTTCCCTGTTCCTCTTCCCACAGGAGGATGACATTCAGCCGCTTGCCGAATTGTACAAAGCATTATTTCAATCAGTGCGCTTTCCTGTCTGTCTGTTAAAGCTGAAATTTAGGAAAGAGATGTTAATACACAACTTACTTTTCATTTTCCAGAGGGATTAAGATATGTTGGGGTTTTTGTTTGGGTTTTGAGGGGTTTTTTGTTTAAGGCAAAAAGACAGACATGTAGACCAATAGCTCATTTCCAGAGGTGGGGGTGGCAGAGGGGATAAAGAAAGTACCTTATAAAATGACACCAGAAAATATTGAAAAAATTGAGGGAATATCACTGGATGAGTCACAGGACAGGATGGGACAAACAGTAAGTTTTATAATTATTTTACTTCCTTCCTATTTTTCAGAGGTCCATATACTAGGACCTATGAATTACAGGATTCTGGCAGGGGTTTTGTTTGGGTCTACTGTCATCAAAGAAATTATGGTATTTTTCCACATGGTAGTTATAGCAATAAATTAACCCGTTTCATAAGCAACTTAGTTTCTCTAATGCTAAAAATGCAGCCTGAACTTGTGGAACACCAAGGCAACACTGCATGCTAATTCTTTCCCTTGTCCTCTAACCATTGCTCTTGTGTCACACTTCCATACCAGGTGGTGATCTCTTTCTACTCTTCCTCACATTTCATAATTGGCATTACTGACTTCTTACGGTCAGAAACCCAGAATATACATAAATATTTTTTTCCTTATTTCAAGCCTAACAAAAACTGCACAGCAATAGAAACAAAGATCTACAAAACTCTCTTACGTTCTTCTCCATTGAGAGGCTCCTCCAGCAGAAGACTGTTCATACATTCCCAGTCCTTCAAGAGGTCTGTTGCACAGTCCCACATGCTGTCCACAAGATAAGCAGCATGTTCGTGCAACTAAAATAGGAACAGATAAAGCATTTTATCAGCAATGGAGGTTATTACAGAACTACAATACATAGAATTTCTCGCTCTTGCCTCCTGTCTGTGGCAAAAATACAGAGCAAGTTTTTCAAGGTCTCTGGTTAAACATAAAATTTTCTTCCCCAATTAACTCAAAAAGATGAATCCAGACCAATAGATACAAGGAGTAGTACTACAAGATCTATCAGCACTTGGGGGATAGGTGAGTAGGGATTGTGGGGCTTTTTTTTCTTTTCTCTCTCTCTCCTTATAATCTATTAGATCACAATTTCTTTACATTTATACATTGTCATTTTTCTCAGAGTAACACTGACAGCCCATTTCAATATTGTGAAGGTTTTCCTGCAAGTAAATAAAACCACACAAAACAGTCTTTTCACCCCCAGGTTGATCAAACAACAGGAAAACCAGGACAGATTCATGGTTGTTAACCATGTGAGTGGTTGTTCCCCACTCACTTAACAGGTTGTTAACCAGTGAGTGGGGAAAAGAAAAACAACAACAAAATTTAACTGACAAAAATTAGAACCACAGCAAAACTCCACACGCACCATGAAAAACAAGAATATCCCTGAAACCAAACTTACTTCACTTTCCAGAAAGAAAAACACTAATGTCTTCACAAGATTAGCATTTGGACTTTGTCTTCCTCTCCTCTTCAGCATTCCATCATCTTCAGCATCTCTGCGGCTGAAAAGCCTGAAAGAAAAATTATTTATTGACAAGTTTCTTCTTTATTGCCATCACCATAGTAAATTCACATAAAAATATCAGTTTCTTACACATTAAGTACCTTGTTGCTTGGCTCCATATTTTATTTTGAAAGGAAGTAATTTGGGACAAGTATAATTTGAACAATTTCATATATGCATTTTATATATGCTGAGTTAATAACCCACTGACTGTTTCCAGTGAGATTAATAATTATAACAAAATGCTTTACAAACATCAGTGATAATTGCGGTTGCTTGAGGTCCTATGCTCCTCCTCAGCAAATGGTATTTTCTGAACCTCCCTACAGGAGACTTTAAAGCAGCTAAGAAATATTGGAAGGAAGTCTGAAAAGTATTAGATGGAAACTCTTATTTTCTTCTCCTACACACCTGACATGTTGGATTTTTAAAATGAAAAATATTTTGTGAAATGGTTATATGGGACAATGGGGAAGAGGCAGGCACAGGAGAAGAACTACAAATGGGAAAACACTCATGATTCAAGCCCAAGTTTTAGGCTCCAAACTACATAAGCATTTTAAGACATTTCACAGGAAGAATGGGAAAGGAGAAGACACAGGAACATTTTTATTATATTCCATGAAGGTACAAGCTTTCAAAGTGCAGCCTTCAAAACTGCTTTTTCCAATTTAGAAAAACTAGAGCAGTTCAAACAATACTGTACATTGTCTCTTCTTTCTTAAGGCCTCTTTATGATTCTTTTTTCCTTTTCTTGAATAAATCTAGTAAAAATCATAGTATTAATGCACACAAATGCACAAAAACCTACAGGAGTTTGAAGTTAACTGTAATTTCTTCATCTTACTTTTTATAAAGAAATTCCCCTGCAGCAACTGCTACTGGCCGATGAGCTGAATAAACCAGGTGGTAGACATTTTCACAGTCTTCTGCAGTCAGAACTTCTTCACTACTCCTAGGGGTAGGGATGGGAAGAAGGAAAGAAAGAAAAAAACAAAAAGGCTGAGTCAACAAAGTATGAACTCTAATGAGGGAGATGGAAATAAATGAAAACCTAAAGCTCTTCCATCAATTTATCATCCTAGAACTCCAGAGTCTTAGTTCCAAAGTCTTCCTGAACAAAATATACTGATGAAGTAGGAGCTATTGCTAGAAGGTTATGCTCAAGAGTTCAACTACTGTGCAATGTTCAATATAGTCCATGTTCTTAATTTCAAACATTCCATGATAGTTTTTAACTATGAGGTTTAATTCAAAGTTCCTAGCCCTTAGACCTACTGAACTGTGGGAGGTAAGCAGTAACACTGTTTTAGACAGATTACCTTTGGAATTCCATTTTCTTTGAGTGTAAGATGCATAGACATTTCTATAGCCTTCAGGCTATCTGAGGTGTCATGCTGGCCTCACCCACAAGAATGAGAAACACTTAAGTTCCAGTATTTGTTGTATGTAAGAAAATATACATGTACTTACTGTAAAACAAGAGTGAGTAATTTTATTGCTTGGACTGCAACATCATATTCTTTGTCAAGAGTCATAGAGACAATTCTATCCTAAGAACACAAAAGAAAATATTTTTGAAGAGGAAAGAAGTTAATGCAACTTTAAAAAAATCATATATACCCAGTGTAAGAAGTAACACTAACCTTGAACCGACTGGTGAAGAGCTCCAATTTGGAATTAAGCTCCTTATTATAGTAAAGCCCTTGCAAAGCAGTTAGGCATTTAAGTCTTACTTCTCCTTGCTAAAATAAAATTAAGAACTGAATTAAAAGTCAAGTATAGGATATACACGATCTTCATGTCATACAAGGTAAGTTTCTTTTACAGTCAGAATTAATTCAAAAACAGAGATTAAAAGTTGTCAAAATACACTATCAATAATCACGTTAATGACGTAAGAATATAACCTTGTTTGTAACAAGGCAGTGAAGCAACAAACGGAAACAAAGCCCCCCACAGTCTTACTGCAGCTACTACCTCCATTAATAAGAATATGCTTGTTGTATTCTTTCTGAACACTCAAGATATTTCCATCATTGACAATAATCTCTTGCTCAGTCAAAATTACTAAGCAGATAATGAGAGAAATATTCCTCCTGAAATACAAGATCTGCTTCAGCAGAGAACATGTTCTAAGGTACAGATGACCTCACCCCACTGCTAGAGGTTACTGGGTTTTTACACCAAGCCGATGAACAGCACAGCAAGACCAAGCATCCCTCATTTCTTTCACTTAAAATTCAACAGCTTGAAACTTCTGATGCAAGAACTGAGGCAATGTACTAACTCAATAATGAGTCAAGGAGTATTTGCAAACTATATTAACCCCTCCAAGCAGAGAATGATCTCTAGGGGGTAGTTGGTAAATAACAGCTTGAGGCACTAATCAGCATAAAAAGGGGGCTTTTCCATGCTTTTTACAGCTAGATGAGAATGCTAGAGACTTTCGTAGCTTGGTAAAACAGAGTACTGCCAGGCTATAAGGATGACATGCATTAATTAGAAGTAGTTAAACACTATGAAGTACAAGTTTGCATCAGCAATAAATCAACAGAAAAGACCATTTGCCTACAAATAACAGTTCCTTAAAATAATCTCCAAAAACATTCAAAACATACAAGTCTGGCCTATAGGTATTTTGAAATGCTTCTAAGTGATAAGGAAAACAGTGACTGATTTAAACAGTGAAGAGATCCAAACCTAGTCTGGAAAGATCAAAAGCCAAAACCAAGGAGTTCTGCTTCTTGGTTCTGCTCCTTTTGCTCAGTGCAGTTTACCTTGTCATGCATAGTCCACCCCACATATTTTAAGTAGCTGTCATTGAGAAAGGCATCACTGTACATTTTCATCCATATTCCGATCTCCTCAATGCAGATGGCTCTTATTTCAGCAATTGCATCTCTGTAGAGGGGAAGAGGGGCAGTAAGTTCAAACAGATGAGTAATTAGAAATAATCTGCCACCAGCTTCCAGAATAAATTAATGATGCTACACATCACTTACTAAGAGAAACTTACCGGTATCTATGCACAAAAACACCTTTAAATATTGCATTCATCATGTTTTCTATTTCATCCTGATTTTCTTGAAGCTGAAAGAACGTAGAGAATACATAAACAGTGAGCAGCACTTTTACAGTCAGATCAGATGGTGCTGATGCTAGACAAACTAAATTAAGTGAACATTTATAAGTGTGACCATTAAATCCTTTCACAGATTCAGAAATATTCACAGATCTGTTTCACAGTACAATATGCTATTATTTAAGAAATCGTATCTACCACAGCATACAAATTTTATTAATTCTAACCACTGGAAAACTGTTCTTCAAGTGTAACAAAGACATCTTGGGTTTCTGAAAGATCTTTCTTAAGTAATTTGTAAGAAAACCTGATTTAATTTTCTAGTAACATCATTGCTTTTTTATGTATCTATGTATTACTCGCACTAGGACTGGCCCTACACACACATCTAACAAAACTACTTTGAATGAGTCGTTAAGAGATCATTCTCAAACTGCAGATCTTTGGGAGATGACCAGAAGACAAACTTGCTAGCTTGTCAACTGTCAGGGGAAAAAACTCTTAAACAGGTAATAGTACAAATGCTGAAGAGCAAAGGTGAGATGTTTCCTCTGATAATGAAGAAGTTATTCCTGATGTCTAAAAAACTACAAACCTAAAAGAAAACAAACATCACCAACACTACAAAAAGAAAGACCAAAAACAAACAAAAAACCAAACCAATTGCTCCAAAAGTAAAAACTGAAACCTGACTGAATTAAGGCTTTCAACAAGACAATACTGTCAGCAATGAATCAGCAAGTCTCTTACACAAAAGAAAGAAAACAGAAGTAGACTGCATTTTCAATTTTGATAATACTTTCTGTACATGAAAAAAGCCTTATCTAAAGCTTTTAAATACACTTTCTGCTGAGATCGTTATTGACATTATAAAAGCAGTATTTTGCTCCAAGATCATGGAGATCTTCTCTTGAAGACAAAACCTGTCAATGTACAGTAATTTTTGTTACATATTTGAGCTCAATGTAGAAAACTCATAAAGAAATAAAAATGTATCTATTACTGATTTCAGTCTCTCTCACTAACTTCACTACAACACTGTTTTTAAAGACTCTACATTTACTTCTTTTTACAGAAAAGTAAACAGTAAAAAGCACCTTTCAAAGTTTTTTAAGCATTAAACTTGAACAACCTGAAGAGTTAGAGAGACGGATAACTACCAAAACCAACTGCAGAACAAGATTATTTGCTGCCATTTATGAACAGTAATCACTTACCAATAACCAGCTAGAATTGTACTAACCTCCTTTCTCTTCTGTAGTAAGAGTTCCAGCCTATCATTAGCTCGTTTCCCAATTATTTTATTTCGTTCTGCTTCATACTGCCGCTGTGTGTTGTCCATGTTAATACTTAGATTTAATGCCACATTCACTAAAGCAGTCATCAGTTTCATGGCTAGAAAAATAAGTGAAAATAAGGATTATTTAAAAGGTTACCTGATCTAAGAAAACTTAGAAAAACCTTGACACCTCTTCCTGACAACCCTTTCTGTATCTATGAAAATATATTCACTGTAAATTTTTTGATACACAAACTTATGCAATGTTTTACCAAACACTGCATCATTATTTATCAGGACAATAGATACAATATTGCTATTCTGTTCTTTTTAGTTATTTCTTTAATGCTATAAGCATTATTTTTATTATAAGTATATTATTATTGTTGAATTGAGATATAGGATCTGTTTCCTCCCCAGAATGAAGGTAGAATGTAAGATTTACAAACATAGCCCAAGAAATACTAGAAGAATTCTGTTATCATTCTGTTAGACTGGCACCATTCAGTCTTAAATATACAAGTTTCTTCCTTCAAAAGAAAACATCTTAGACAACCAACAGCACCATATCACACCGATTTTTTTTCCCTCAAATTAATTTTAACAAGGTGCAGGTTTTTCAAAGATTCATTTATTAGCAGAAGCAGAGAAAGCACATTAGCAAACTACAAGACAGAAAACAGAAAACCAAAATATAAAATACACTTCCATGGGATTTTTGGTGTCCTTTTATTTTTAGATCAGCCCTTTAAAAGGGTGCAGACAAATACCCTTTTTTCAGAAACTAGGTGATCAATTGTGTACTTGCTAGTCTTGTGAGCTTCTGCAAAAGGGCATAAAAGGGCTTGCACTGGCAGAGCACACACAGAAAATTCTTGTGCATGTATCATCAGCATAAAGCTGATGAGCAAGGCTTAAAGACATGTAGTTATATTGAAATATCATCTCACATTGTGATGTCCATGATTAAAGAACAAGTCTGAGTAAATCATAGAAGCCAAAATTACCAGAAGTACCAGTAAATATGGATACAAGGATTTCCATATAAAATACAATCTTCAGCAATACAAGCAGTAAAACTCAGACAAACACACAAAATCAAAAGAATTGACTACTGATGTGAACAAATGAAAACACATGGCTTTTAAGTATTTTGTTTGACAGAAACTAACATGCAACAGGGCAATGTCTGCAACTTTTATTTAGGCACAGCTCAAAAAAAAAAAACCAAAAAAAAACCAAAGGTAGAAACTTGCTTTTTAAGACCTTGAATTTGTATTAGTCATAAAATACATACAAGTCACAACTGATGATACAGCAAAATCTGTAAATTTTCCTGAAATAAAAGGTTTTGTTCCTCTCTCCTTAAGAAATGTTCTGGCTGGTAGAAGTCTCACACACCAGCAGCCCCATGTGCAGTGTGATAATATAAATTCAAGACAGCTATCAAGGATACAGAAGGACTGATAGGACAGTCAGGACTGAAGCCGGCTGTAAATCAGCCAGCTCAAGGGAAACTAACAATAATTACCTCCAGTGTGGCAAAAGCTCAGCAACACACACAGACTAAATTTACCTTGTTCAAAGTAAAGTTGTTACAATAAGCTGACAGCCAATGACACAATGCCATTCACAATCCTTCATCAGTAATCAGTGCCAAGTTTAGGACTCCTTTATCCAAGAAGCTCATCCTTTGTCCATACAAAGACGTATTTCCTTGAAACACTATACTTAACTCATAAGGGATTTCTTCACAATTTAACACATTGGGAAAACATTATGTGAAAATGTCAACTACATAAAACATAAATTTAGAGACTGTATTACTGATGAAAAAATTCTTTTTAATAATTTCTAATGCAAAGACTGGAAATGCAACTTTACAAAGTGCCATGGCCTTAATACGTAGCACAATATAAGTTTGTAGTAAAAATTCCATCCAACGTAAACTACAGCTTCCGTTTGACATAAGGCAGAGTATGAACAGGTTCAACTACATTTGAGATTATGACACTTACAGCCTTATTTATGATCAAAGACAAACTAGTAGAATCAATTGATAAGTTTCTATTTACTTTTCTAAAGGTAATAAAAATTAAGTACCAGACAGCTAGCAAAGAATGCTTTAAAATAGTGCTGTTTCTCATTAACAAAAGTCCAAGATAAAAAGCTGTCCCAAAGCAAGCTGCATTAGATGAAAACTGTATCACACAATAAAACACAAGTTGAATGCTGAATATCAAGACGTTTAACCAGAGTAATTCTGTCCTGTGCAACACAAAACATAAAATGTAAGCACTACCCAAATAAATGTAATTCACTGACCTGCCAGTGTGCTAGTGTGCCGAAACGCTCTGACTTGTGAGTCTGACAGCCCCGTAAGCAGTGAAATGACAGTATCCATCATATATTCATCATATATGATGCTATATTGACATTGTCGGACGAGTACTCCAATGAACTCACAAAAACTGGATTTGAACTTTTTCCACTGGGGGCCAGCCATAGTTAGTGGATAATCTCCACTATCCTATTAAAACACAGAAAAGGAAACAGGAAATTGTTTCAAACATCTTAAAAGTTATTTCATTAAGTAAAGATTAAGAAGAGATGGGTACAACTTTAAAGCCAAAATCTCAGAGGCCTTAAAAATGATACATCAGAAGAATATGATTCCGTAAGTGTGAATATATTTTGCAGTTGAGGCTTGTTATAATAACACCAAGACAACATTCTAACTACTAGTTTCTCTTTTTTGTTTGATGAAAAAAAAATAAAAAAATTATTTGCCTTGCAAATCTACTTTGTTACACTAGAACCATCACATGAACAGTAAGATTTCAAGTTTAGGAACAGGCTGAGATCATAATGAAGTTTACAGGGAAATGCATCTTGGAGCGAAACCTTCTGAAGTCATAAAATTACCTACTACAACACCTTGAATATAACAAATATGAGTCCTCTCCTGGTATGGGAGCCTTTACAAATAATGGCAAAATGACAGGGAGAAAAAAAGAATCATTCATGTCAGTGCCTCTATGAACAGTTTCTTTAAGAGGTTAAAAAATAAAGAAAGTATCCATGAAAAGGGATTAGAAATCTGGGAGTTACTCATTAAAATTCTGTTACAAGAAAAAGTGAGTATGACATAGTGATAAAAAAACCGATGTACCAACAGTCCCAGGTGTGGCTTTATAGATCTCACACAATATTGCCTTAGAGTAATCAAATCCATTTATGCATTGAGGTTGTTTTAAGGAACGCTAAAATCCTTTTAAAGATAATACTACTACATTTTCTCCTCAGTTAAAGTTATGGATTTTTTTTTAATGATTGGAGGGGTGGCAGTGGTATATTGTTTCTGTACTAGACGAATTTGAGAAGGAGGTTTTAAAGCTGCATTTACATTCTCTGGAACACAGGGTGAAAGAAACACCATTCAAACCTGGGAAAACCAAAACCAAATGAAAGCCAAATGAAACCAACAAAAAAAAAACCCCAAACCAAAATAAAAACTACAACAAACAAAACAAAAATAACCCCACCACCCACCAAAAGAAAAAAGCCAATACATCTCATTTACCCCAACACTCTGCGGATAGAAAGCAACAGTTTAAAGGCAAAAAAACCTGTAATCCTCATGAAAGGAATAGCATTAGCCTTCAATTGGAGAATAATCAAATCTAGGCCCTGTCCTGGGGTGACTTTATGATGCTTGTATCCCCAGTGGTCTGTTGTGTTTGTTACATAATAAGTTCTGCACCTTTAAGACTGGCTCTGAGAGCGAAGTGGGGAAGCAGCAGCGCAGAGTTTGTGTTCTGAAACAGCGCTCACTGCCCCACACGCTGCTCTGGGCTGTGCTGTCTGCAGCACGGACACAGCAGGACAGAGCCCTCCTCTGCTGTTTTCGCTAGCTGAGACAGAGAAGTTCCCTGGCCTGGTTTTTTTTTTCCTTCGATCTGTTCAAACCTGCTCTGGACTGAAAACCCAGACAAACCGCAGGTGCTCATGCCTGTGCCCACTGGCGTGGGACACCGCGCCGGAGGGACTGATAAGAGACTGAGCGAGCCGAGCTACACCCCACAACAAGGACTTTTCTGGATTTGCCATCTCATCAAACAGCAAGAGGTTTTATTGTTTAATATTAATCAAATTCTGTTAAACAGGGTTTTTTTCCACTTTTCTCCAAGGAAATACCTTTTCCCAAACCAGCTTGGGATGGGGCCACTTAAATTCACTTTCTGAAGGAACCCCATTTGGAGGTTTTCTCCCAAATTTGCCCTAAAGCAGAACAGGCCCCCACAATTTGTAGATTAATGAGTGCAAAGAAATAAATGTAGTGACCACTTTAAAAGACAATTTAAGGCCTTATATAAACAGCAAGATAGGGATGCATCCCCCATAGCATCACCATAGTAGGAGTTCCCACTATTCAAAAACTGAAAGTCAATATTGATTTCTTAACCCATTAGTAAGTAGCATACACACAGAACTTTCTTATTTCACTGAACTTGTAAGACTAGGAAGTAGAGTTCATAATTCATAATTTTTATTAATTTTTGTAACTCCTTATTCTTGAAATAAATATCCAGCAATGTGATCCAGCAAAATTAGGACAGGTACAAAGAAAATAAAAATTAATACATAATCAGCACTTCATTAAATTACCTCATCAAATTCTTCAGTCATTTTTCGGATTATTTCAGAATTCTGCATATGACGGAACATCTCTGCTGTAACAACTCCTACAATTTAGATATTAGGTCATTAGCGCTGCTAATATGAATGCTGTAGATTGCAGAAGACATGCCTCCTGCTACAATGTCAAAATAACCCATTTTCACCTAATCTACTGATTACACACGTATATTTTTGACAAATTTCACTTTTTATCTTCTAGCATCCATGTGTAACAAGTACTTAGCCCCATTTATTTATGTGGGGTTTATTATCGTTCTTCTTAAGAAGTGTGTTTGTGTGCATGTACACACACACATCTAGAACTTACTCATTCACTCATATTCAGAAGTCAAAGATACTTTTGTGCCAGGCCTCTGTATCAGTAAGCATTGTACCATCTGAACTGACCTTTTGGGACTCAAGATTCTAAATGGTGCGAGACAATTTTGAACAGCTCTATTGCAACTTATTATATTTTGCACTGTAATAAACATAGTGCTTTTATGCAATTTCTATTTGTCTTGTCCTCAAATTGTTACATATCCTAAAGTTTATTGCAAAATTCATGACCAAGATCAGCACAGAAAGCGTTAAAAGATCCTGCAGCTTTATCTTGCAACAAAAATCAAAAGGTCACTATTCTTGAAAGTGCAGATAACCTCTGAGGAACACTGTTGTTAGCTTTCTGGAGATTTACACATGTTAAAAGTTGATCAGGATAGAGAAACACTTAAGCAGAACAAATTACATCCAGTCCTCATCTATCAAGCATAGTGACACTGCAAGGCAAGTTACCTTCTCTTTAAGAGGAGATCTGAGATAAAAAAATGGAGGACATGGAAATGAGGAAAGAAAAACCAGAAAATGAAGGAAAAAAAATATATATGGAAACACAATCTTACTGTAGACAGGCTACCATAAAGTTGTCCATAATATCTTTTGAAACTAAAGCTATGAGGCAATCTCTATCCATGATAAAAAATAGGTATATCAAAATTAGGATTCCAAGATTGAACAAGTTGAACTATCAGTGATGGGACACAAGATTTCTGAAATAATAGCAGAACAGAGGAAGAGGAAGCATGTGTTAAGTACCAGTACTGATTTCTATCTGCTGTAAAGTACAAAAGGCTTCAACAACACTTTAAACTATGGTGTAAGGTTTCTAAACCTCCTACTCCCATCTTCAGAAATACTTGTTTAACTCCAAGAACCTGATAATGTAAACTAGCTCTGGGCATGAAGCAGTCTTACAGGCTTAGTAGTATGAAAGCAAAGATTGAGAATCATACTAGAATATTACTTAAATGGATGAGTAACCATTTCAGTATCTTACCTTTGCAGCCTGAACACTGAATAAAGAAGTTAATGAGATCAAGAAGTGCTATATCTCGGTCATGTTTGTATGACTCTATCCAGTCATCCACTACAGACTGAAAGAAAGCAAATAAAAAGCAACTGCTCAGTTTTCATAAATTGAAGACATTGTTACTTACTTGTTTTCCAGTAAGTGATTCTTCTTCATCCCTTTATGTAATTTCCACCCTCTTTTTTGATTACTACATAACTAAATGTTTAAATGATCTTTTATTGCATATGTTCTCAAGAACTCATTTTATTCTATAAACATATACCAGTACAAAACTGAACCTAAACATAAAGCGCAGGAATACCATATACTCCTACATGAACATTTTTGAAGGAAGAATGCAAAAATAATTGGGGTATTTTACAGAATCAGGTTTTTTATTTATGCCCTCCCCCTGCTCTGCCAAACCACTGTCATTTCTCTGGAGATACTATTTGTGCATTTAATTCCAACAGCTACAACTCCCTACACTCTTTAAAAAATCTGCCCCTTTGATGGACTTTGCTTCATCCACATTTGCCATAACAGGATGAACAGCACTGTTCTACACTCCACAGATATTAATTACTCTGTAGTCAGTAAGGCAAATAGGAACAAGCACATTTTATTAAATGACCTTAATGTGAAGCTATTAAACCTGTGATAATCATTTTGACAAAACAAAATTTACATGCAATTATGTTTTAACCATCCATTTGTAGAGTGAAAACCATCTACTGTCAAGGTCATAAAAGCACAGACTCAAACAATTTTATTAATACAGGTACAAGTGATTCACTTTAATATCAAGTTCTCAGGTTTAACTTTTTTTAATATATTAGTACCCTTCCCTAAATGATGGAATAATTCAGAATTTCAAAGACAGCTGGACTATGCAGTATCTCCAAAGCTTCTGATCTGTATTCTCAGTGCTTACTCTCACAGGCAATATTGCTGTGAGGAAAAAAAAAACCACACTGCCATCAAGGAAAACTTCTAAACAGCTAAATGCCTCTTCCCTGAATCTCAGATTGTTTGTAGTGTGATGCACAACTTTTGTCAGTACAACTGACAAAAAACAATGAAAAACTCAAAGTGAAACTGTCATGGTCTTTCCAGTAGGAACAGAACCTATGAACTGGACCTGAGTGGACTGGCCTGAAGGGAAAAATGAAATACGGAGAAAACAAATTGGCTTCTAAAGAATATCACCATGCAAGAACTAAGAATTATAGGAATGTAATGAATATTTCAACTAGGCAGCCTTGTTTTCAAAATCTATTCAATTTAAAGAAGCTCCAGCGAAACACTTGCTTTTTGAAACATTTTGTCTCTGTGAATGAACCACCTTTTTCTGCCAGGGAACAGACATTAATTCACAGAATCACAGAATGGATTAGGTTGGAAAAGACCTTTGAGGTCATCGAGTCCAACCTATGACTTAACACCACCTTGTCAACTAATTCAGAAGTACAGAACAGAACTAAAAGTAAAATAGTTAACTTAAAATTATTACCAAAATTTTTCCAGATAAGCAAACACCAAGGGCCATGGAAAAAAAACTTTGTACTCTGACTAAAATGGACTTTTAGTTTAAAAATAATTTGAGGTTTTTTCTTTCTAATTTTAAAAAATTGACAAATATTCAGGTATCAATTTCCCAATTCAACAGAGTAATCAGACCCGGCAAAGCTCAATTTTGCCCTTAGAAAGCAAAATATTTTGATGGTATATCATTTTAAACAGCTAAAATGTCATAAAGATACAATTACTGATAACTGGCTGAACAAGTTGCACACAGAGCAACAGTTAGAGAAGTATGCTTTTTCATCTGCTTTGAAATAGAACAAAACAAATTATTTCTCTGTGCAAATACATCCAAGTAATTTGTTTTTGTTCCCAGCTGTAAGGTGCCTTGCAGGTGCCTGCAAACCTTGAGAGAATCATACAGCAACCCAGCATCCTGCATATGTATTACAGGAGCTGCAAACTCTAGACTTCTGGTCCCAAAGATAGTTTTTCTTCCACACTGCCAGGAGTCACATGAGTGAGTCAGCAGGAAAGCTTCATGGCTGACAGGCTTACACCTATTACACTTTAACCCTGTCTTGACTGGGAGACTCACTGAATTTTAAAATAAAAAACAACAAAAACAGTGATGTATTTCTTATTAGTCTTATTTCAGTCCTGTTAGTAAATGCAGTGGGGAGGGTGCCTAACGATACTTGAAAGAGTTAAATTTCCCCTAAGTTGACTTGGCCAGAGTATATTACTACACTTCAGTTGGCTAAAATTTGGGTCAGGAAATTTAAGGAGGAGCCTCTAAGTTGTAGCTAGTGATTTACTTTGGATAAGAGAAGCAACTATCTATTTTCAGATAATCTAAGCTCTGGATGCATGTAAAAACTACAGATTCATGTTAAAGTCCATGACAATAATAAAGTCCAGTAAGGTCTATGAAACAGTAAGTCTAAACCACCACACAAAAAGGACTGCCACACAAAAAGGACATTAAAGTTACGTAATCTAAAACAACCTTTCTTCATTCCAGATACTAAAAACTTACTTTGAATCATAGTATGAATTTTTTTGTTTCATATATGATTATTAATGAATAACATTCAGAAATTAAGTATCAGTTCATTTGAATTCAGAGACCAACAAAGCAAAACCACTTTATTTTGATACTTATATACAACTAAAACCAGCAAATTGAAGGAAAACAATTACTTTAGATTTCATTTGATTAAATTGCACGTAGAAGAAAATATTGCTCTACTTAAATTGTACCTATATCCAAGTCATAGAGCTATCCCAGGTCTTACCTGCATAGCACTCTTGCCCATTTTAACTACTTCAAAGAGCATCATGTTTTCCACACCATTCTGTTGGTGATGTCCATTCATCCGATTCGGACCACCAGGTTTCCCTCCTCCGTTACCACTTTTTCCCTTCTCTGCTGGTCCTTTTTTTCCTTTTTTACAGGTCTGCAATCACATACACAAGAGGTTTTACTTAATTATTATGAAGTATTTAAAAAAAAAAAAAATCACTATCCATACCATGACTGATATAGACAAGACCCTTGATTTTCAGCAACAATGTTTTTTAAATGTTTTATATGTATCTATGTGTATGTATATGTGTGTACTATATGTGTGTATATATATATATATATAAATTCAAAAGCTGGGAACAGCAGATCCTGAGTGATACAAAGACCAGCAAGGTTTCTCCTTACCTCATTTAAAATCTTTTAGCAACTACAAATGTGATTAGTGTGTATAACACAGATCTTTCATATGTTTAAATCGTAAAACAGATTATACATATTTCCTTTAAAACAGCTAAGGTGATTCCCTTAACACATCAGAAAATCTCCTCTGCCATTCATTAGCCCTTTTTTCTTTCATTTGAATATATATTGGTAAATGGGGGGGTGAGGAAGAGCAGACAGGCATTTTTGTATTTGATTTCCCAAATGAAGTATGACTTACAGAAAGAAGAAAGAAAAACATTAAGTACAAATTACATTACCATTGTATAAAATCTATCACCACCTCTCAACAAGCAGGTACTCTGCACTAGTACAGGCTCATGGGGTGTCCAATGAAGGGTCACAGCCCAGGCTAGTGTATGGCAGGGAAGGAGCCACACGTGGTGGCTCTGAAGCCTGTGAGAGGCACATGGGGAGGAAAACTCTCCAAGGAAGGGAAAGAAGGGCTGGGAACCGGGTTTAGACTTCCCACCCCACTATTGTAACCTCCTGTCTGCAACCTGTTAAAAAAAGCACTTTTAACTGAATTATTGTTCTGTTCACTTTTCAAACTAAAAGACATAGAATACATGATAAATTTAAGTATATGTATAATATAATAAATTAAGTATAATATATTTATCCATGATGAATAGGGTGGAAAATATATAAGAGACTGATCAAATCAAAGCTTATCCTTTCCTGCCCTACCTCCCTTGTGCCTTCAGAGCAGTAAGGAAATATCACAGAAACAGTCAAGATGAAGCATTTCCATGCAATTACAAATATGAACTCTCTTCACAGAACACTTGCATTTTCAGAAAATATTCCTAGCTCATTCAACTTCAAAGCAAGTGCTAAACTCTTCAATTTGTAACTGCAGAAATGTTTCAGTATCCCTAAAGATTGAACATACTTTGCCTTTGCCTTGTTTTTGGTTTTTTCCTTCAATATCCTCAAAGTCTGTATCAGAAGAGAAGTGTGTTTCAGACTCCCTGTAAGGAAAAAAAGACAAACCATTCACACATTTCATCAGAAACATTCTTAAATATACTATATAAAATCAATGTTATGCTCTCAGTCCAGCAAGTCAACACCAACAGTCAAAACTTTTCCCAAGCCTGCTGTTGAGGAACAGAGCATATCCCCACACTCGCAGCCTATCCTGTCTCCTCCAAACAATGTACCTGAGAAGGAAGCCATCCAGGAAAATTTAAAGATCTGAGGGTAGGTAGAAAATAGCAGCAGGCTGAGAACCATGCCTTTGACATGTGATAAACATGAAAACATCTCAAAAACCAAAGAGTTTTAAATACTGGTCACAAATCCTTAAACAAAATGAGGAGGAGAAAAAACCCAACAGCAAAAAAAAAAACCCAAAAGCATCACTTTCCCTGACAACCAAAGTGTCTTAACAGATTTCTTCATGCTGTTAGAAACTTCGGAAGTATTTAAGAGGTTTGCTTATGCTGAAAGGTACAGAAAAGAAGTTTTGGTGAAGTTTCCTCATCAAAATGATATGCTGTAATTCTGTTTAGGTTTATAAGGTAAAAACACTAAATACACAAACTCATTTGTTTGATTTCCTACACATTAAAATATGCTGCATTGACACACAAATCCTTAATCGGCAACACTGATAGGAAGCTGTGTGAAATGACCTGAATTACTAATAGAGAATGCTTGGCTTGTGTAGTAGTCTCTATTTCTACATTTCCTGTAGAAATTAAGTTAAATGCTACAAATGATGCTACAAGAGCTCATTTTAACACACAGATGCAGTACAATGAATTTTAAGCTGCTATCACAAATTTCTGATACACAGTTCCTGATTCAATTAACAAAACAATCAGAAATATGACCGGAGGCACAGGAGACTCATTCCTATGGATGTATTTATAACCTTCTAAAACACTCCAGAAACTTAGCCTCTCACTACTGCAAGTGTCTGAAAGGAGTTGCTGCCTTTTGACATGGATTCTGCTGTGTCTGGTTTTTCTGACTACATAAGCTGATATAGACTGGAAAAGGCTGCAAACCAGAGCATTGGGGGAAAGAATGAAAGAAAGAAAAAAGGTGGAAAAAATTTCCTCTGTAAAGATGCCTAGATGTTCTTATTTTCATAGGGAAGAACTAAATACAAATTCCAAGCATTTCACTAAGCAATAAACTACAACAACAGAGTAGAAAACCATTATAAACAGTTGTAAAAACATTATTTTACATTAAATCATCTTCCAATTTATTTCAAATCTTTTATTTCTCACTGAAAAAAAAAACAAACACCCACACAAATAAACTCATTGATACAAAACTGCACCTTTGCATCTTTTTAGACTTCATAACCAAGTTAATCCATTTCAACAGTCTAGAGAAATTTATTCGTGCCAATCCCTTGACAAATAAAAGGGGATGAACTGCATTCTTTTGGTCTGCTTAAAATACTTTACTTCTCCATCCAAAAGTATAATCTGTACCTAATTCTAAATCTTGGAAACTTAGATATCTGTTTCTTAAAAATTGTGGGAAGATGAAAGGCTTAGTAAAATTATGTCAAAAACACCAAGGAACTGATGCCTGCGAGAAGCCATTACTTTGCCCTTAACTAAAGCATTTGGCATTACATATTTAAAACATTAACTGACCTGTCCCAGGTAAGGGCAAATTTTTCAAATACTTGATTTAAAGTCAGATTTTTAAACAATATTTTAAAAACTTAATTTACTCCTGAATTAATACTCAAGAAAAAATTAAAACAATGCTTTTATCAATCTCAATAGAAAAAAAATATAGAACACTATCCTTTATTATGTTTCCTTGTTTCCAAGAGAAAGTAAGCCACAACACAAAGAAGAGACCGTACATTTACAAACAGAACTACAAATTTTTAAAGTACTTACTGAAGGAGAGTAAAATCAGTTGGTATTTCTGGAGCTGCTATCATTTCTTTATCATCTTCTGGAACACCACTGTATTAGAAAGATATTCAAAAAGCAGTCTGAAGTGTAAGCTTACTTTTTTTTCTTCCTTTGTAGCAGACTTCTAGAATAAAATAGATAAAAAAATACAGTGAAAATTATTCTACATATGGAAGGATAAAAGAGTTGGAAACAGAAAATGTAGATCCCACCATCCTGTTTCCAAACAAGCTTTCTCCTGTTTAAAGATTTTGAGTCCTCTCATGATGCTATCGCAAAGTGACTCCAAAAACGGTAAAAGCATTGCAGTAAAATAATAATACAGAAACACTGTAAAAAAACCCAACCAAACAAAATATAACAACAAAAAACCCAAACAAGTAAATAAAAACCAAAACAAAAACCCTCCAAAACCAACAAAAAATAATTTTAAAAAAATCAAAACCCCACCACACACATTTTCTGAATAGGATGAATAGAACTGCCATGGTTTTCATTAACACAACATAGCAGAGCCCAGAATGGACAACACTAGGATAATTCTTGTTGACCAAACAAAACCAGACTTGATGTTCAACTTGAAAGACAATATGTGCATATTTTAAAATATTATATATAGCAAATTTCTATCTCCAACTTGCCAACTTCCATGTAATTTCCCATAAATATAAGCTCTTACAATAAATTCTTAAAATCAGATGCTTCACAACTCCATGTCTTCCAGAGCTGATAAACCAGACTTACAACAGGTTTAACATTTGAAGCATTTGTCAAGGCTCTTACGAGTATCAAGGAAGATAATACTATCCACATAGTATAAAGGCAAACATGGAAAACACAACTGTTTTAGCAAGAAAACTAAAGATTTTGAACTACCCTTTTAAAATGTCATCATAATACTGTTCATTATAATAAATTTAGGGTTTTGTCCTATTTTTCCTATTCTTAAGGGGGAAAAAATCACCCTGGATACTTCAAAAGCGAGTTTTTGCCGTCTGGGCTGAAGTTTTCTATGTCACTTGGCTCCCCAGGCTAACTTTTACGCAGTGAAATTAAGAAAGCATGATGTTCAAGTATTTTGAAGATAGCATACCAAGAAGGAAAATCGTCAGAGTCAGTCTGCTGACTATACAGCTTTCTGGAGTGATTAGGTATTTGAGGGAAATATTTAATTTTGGCATGCTAAGCACATGTTGCTCAAAGTCTGGTAGCTCTGCTCCAGAGACTGCGTTTCAACCAAGCATGTGGCAGAGAGGCTGGACAGGTTTTCTCCTGCAAGTGCTTATTCCAAATGCTAGGGGCCACTGTAGCTTCCAGGATTTAGAGAGATGAGAGAAATCATAAACCCTGTACTTATTACATTCTCTCTTTCTTCACATTTCACATAATTACATTAAAGCAGAGAACCAAAGTGGAAATAAATAGTGGCAAAAGCAAGGAGGTTCAAGATGATTAATTTCAAGACAGGCCACAACTCCTAAAGCATGTTCCATCCAAAACACAGCAAAAGACAAAAAGCTTCTGAAATAAAAACCATGCTGCAGAATGGCAGCACCCTCTGCCACTGCATTCCTCCCTTCTGTAAAGGCACCACATAGGCACACAACCAGTGCACTCCATTTTCACTCCCCGTAGCAACCCATGGTCCCAGGCACAGTAACAACCACTACCCAGTCATTCACCTTTGTACGCTCTGCCAATTGAGTATCACCCAAGTCCCCATTAAAATGGGCAAAATACAACTCAAGTATTTTTCCCCCAGATTCTCGTGTTAAACTGGTTCAACAGCAGATATCCAGAGTCAAGGCACAGAAAACACAAGACTGCATAGCCACCAGCAGGAGAGGAAAGGGTAAAATTCCCTTCTTTGGTTGCAAGGTGCTATTATACCATCCTGGCTGTCTTCGAAATGCCATGCTCAGAAGCAAACATATTAGAAAGTGCTACACTTCGGAATTTTTTAATGTATTTTGTATTTATTTATTTCTTAACATTTTCTTTGATTCCAATAAGCAACTCAAACTTGGAAAAAAGAAACACACTTTAATGCCATGATCATCAGGCTGGCACCTGCTCAGCTGTACAGGGAGGGGGGGGGACAAAAAAAGAAAAATGAAGAACATAAACTGTGCAAGTTATTTTTGAGGGATGCTTGTGATTCAGTGCCAGTGCAAAGTAGAGATGCAAACATCAAAAATCGCACTGCCCAGTTTCAAGTTCAACCTGTCTATCAGTGTGTTGGTATTTGACTCTTTCTAGTTTACTTTTTTCAATGTTAAGAGGCAAGACATCTACTAAAGTGACAATCAGGATCCTTACATGCAAATTGGCTCCTTATATGAAACCCAAATATACTATCCTACTGAATCTGGCAAAAATCTCAGAAAATTATTATAACCATAGAAATGAAACAGACCACAAAACATGAGACAAAACGTGGCATTTGCCAGAATCATCTCCTAGAACAAAACAGACATAGCAAAGTTTTTGCTTGATGCTGAAGGGTTCAAGTTCTGAGGTTCATATTTTTTGTTTTTCTTAAGGTAGAAAAACCTTAGCCCCCATGAGTGCAATTATTTAGTGGTACTCTGGAAAACAGAAGCTAGAGATGAATACCTCACAATGGTGTAAAAAGGAAGCATGTAAGGGATCTCAGGTGTCAAGCTTAATTTCCAGAAATGACCAAAAACCCACTTGCATTTGTCCTACTAAAGAATTATTTTACAAGATTTATACACATCCAGAGTGAACGTCTTTTGATGCTCAGCCAACAGGGTCAACCCAGTCCAGTAAGCTCTCTGGCAGTGGCCAAGAGAAGCTGCCCAAGGAAGAACATTATTTCCTTTATAGCCAAGTTTCCCTGAATACCTTCCTAGTATCCAGAAATAATCCATGGATTTTGCTGGCCAGAGAGGTTATCCCAATACTTCAAAACACCTTTATTTTTTCCATTAATATTTCCAAATAGTAGACTATCTTCCATCCAAGAACTCCACAGCCAAATTCCATACTATGAAAAGGCTTTAAATACTACAAAAATTCTACACTATTCGTACTGTAAAAATTCTTTGCCTTGAATTTATCACTTTCCAACTTTATGTCATGTTCTCTTGTTTTGGTATGGGAAAAGAGCAACACTGGTCATTCCCCAAGACCCTTCATCTCATCACCTTCTGGAAATTCAAGACTACTGCCAGCCATGTCTCCTTCATGCCCACACTGAATGATTCATGCAAAGCATGCTGTTCAGGAAGCCAATAAGAAAGGACACTTATATGGATGATTTTCCTACCAAAACTTTTTAAATATATCATGTTCATATACCACAGTGAAATCTGAAAAGAAAGAAGTTAAATTCTTGCAGATGTCATTCAAACAATGCAAGTTGACTTTATCTATTGAATGTGTTCTAATGAACATATTATTTTAAGAACTCTAGGAAGTTAACTCTAAACCAAACTGTATCATAAAAATCAGCTCGAGTTTCTTTTTTGGCATGTTCACAGACTTCCAACTTTAATTTTCCCAAGCAGATACTGAAATCTCTCAAGCCTGTGAAAACTTTAAAAGGCATTCAACTATGTGAAATCATAATTAAATTATTAACTATAAAAGAAAATGTATCCTGCTGAAGGATCACAAGGTGGAGCTCTAGCCTAAAGCTAACTGAAGAAACTCCAAAAGACAGGTCATCCAGAGGTTGACCTAGTTATTCCTCTGCTATAAACTTTATAACAGATTGCTAAAATTGCAATAATATTGTAGCCCATGTACTTTACATTTGTATTTAGATTGTTAAGACACCAGAGGATTTCTTCATCTTTTGTGAAATAAAGGCAGATACATGTTTTATTCCAATGACTCTTACAAAGACAGAAATGCATACAGCTGCTGTAGTATAACTAGTCCCAGTATTTAGCTTTCAAAACAATCAGAAGAATTTCAAAGAACATTTTAAGAGCAGAAATAATGTATCCCTTTATTGTAGCTTGCTATTTAAAACTTTACTAACAAAACATTAATGAACTAAAAAACCTACTGGAAACAACAGGAGCAGTTCAGTAACAGCAATCATACATAATGCTTCCAACTATAAATGTAGGAGGGGTTTCTGCTTCATAGAATTTGACTGTTAAAAGCAAGCAGCAAGCACGAAACAGTATCAAGACTCCAAACGCATATGCATTGAGAATCAGATTTATATCTTAAAGGCTATTTATCCCTATTACATGAATATTTAGGTATGGTTGTGATAAACTCAAATATACTGGCCAAATGTTGACTCTGCCCAAAGTTGATAGAATTCACCAGCACAATTCACACAATAACACATACGCTGTCATCAGCAGTTGCTGAGGGCTACCTGTGCTCCCACAATTCCTATTACATGCATAGATACACTAATGCAATTCAGTGAGCAGCGTCTGCTCTAAGAATATACCTAATTATGTATGTGTGTATACACACACTATAAAGAATCAAAAAAATTGTCTCAAACATTTGTGTTTTGTATACTTGTGTAAATGCAGTAACTCCCGTGTTATTGATCAAGCTCTCAAAACTGTGAGGTTTCAGATGGGTCTTGGTTGGGGAGCGTTCCCTACACAGGCTGTTTATTTTGGTTGCTGTTGGATCCTTGGCATCTATCACCTGGAATTTTATAATGCAAATCAGTAAAACAGTTACCATTTTTTCTGGGAAGGCAGAGATGCAAAGCTAAAAAAATGGCTACATGGCCAGGACAAAGACTTGGGTATTGCAGAATAGGCTGTTCAGAGATGTATTTTTTTCCCCCCCTGTAATTCAATTAATCACCTGTAAAATCAAGGACCTCAATTCAGAAAATTACAACTTCTCAAACTGTGACGCTGAAGAGTATGGCTGAAGTTCATCTCTGAATTATTTACCTATCCATGAATGAATGATGCTTCAGGACCAATTATGCAGCAGCAACAGTTAAAATACTAACCAGATAGAATTTAAATAAAGGGTCATAAATATGTTCAGTATTTTCCCTTAACTATTTTAGAACAGAAAGGCAGTACCAGCTACATTATACCTCTCACCCCTTTTTCAGACAAACTAGAATGTGCTTAACCTTTTGTTTGATAAAATGATGTTTGGTTATCCAGGGGAAAAAA